ACATGTCAATGTAATAAAACACATAACACAATGTCTTCTGAATTATTATAGCCAATTCTATTATCTATGACACATTAACAATATGTGACTATAGATCTCATTACATTTTTATCACAAATACCTCATAATTATACCATGGTTGTCGTCTTTGTAGATTGATTCTTGAAGCAACTTCACTTAACCATGGTGCACTTGGATATTGATGCCTTAACACTTGTACGTATCTTCTTTGATGTTATCTTTTATCACCATGGATTACCTTGTGTCATTATTTCAAATTGAGATCTAAGCTTCATAGGAAGATTTTAACAAACCTTGTTCAAGCTACTAAGTACACAACTTGCTATATATATAGCCTTTCATTCCTAAACAGATGGACAAATATAGCAAGCAATTCAGACTTTGGAAGATATGTTGCGGGCATTTATCGTAGTTCATTATAATGACTAAGATGAATATTTGATGCCCTTGGATTTTATTTATAATAATAGTATTCAAGTAAGTATCGATCATTTATCATTTTTCTTTAACACTGATTAACATCTTATTATACTAGTAATTCTCAATTGTTCTATCAATACCAACAATTTGAAAATGGAAGAGTCTATACAATGACTTAGAATAGCCTTATAAGAAGCATGGTACTACCTCCTTATCACACAAAATTGACAAAAGCAGTATGCAGATAACCATCGATAATACAAGACCTTTCAAGAGAGTGATTAGGTATTATTTTCCAATACTAATTTGTAACTTAGAATATCAATCTAAATCTATAAACTAGTACCTCGATAGCTTGGACCTTTTCATATTTGTGCAGTGATTTTTGATGTTGCATACTATCTCAAGCTTTCACCACATATTTGGTTCCATCTAGTCTTCTATATTTTACAACTGAAAAAATTTCATACCGAGCCAAAGTACTTTTTGAATCGACATCAGCCACCACCACCACCACCATTTGTATATAAGGCCTCACTCTTGTCTCTATATATACTACTTAACTAAGAATTATGTGGTGACATGCTATAAGACCTCTAATATGCATCCAACTTCGAAGACACATGTCTAATATGCAAGACAAGTTTTCTAGGTGTACGCCATATGTCCAACTTTTACTACAAGTAGTCAACATGTCGACACATAGCCTCTTTATTGGCCAAGTTTTCAACCTATCAATCACCTATAGACATATATAAAGGCAAAGCAGTATCTATAAAGCTTCTAGGAAGCTTTTTACAAGATATTATCATATTTATCTACTTTGATTTACTTCTATCTATTCTTATTATTTAGATAATTATCAAGGTAAATATATATATCTGTGATATTATTCCTCCTTCTAGGGATGAGTTCCATGAAGAGCAGTAATTACATGTTGATAAAGTCCAAGATGCATCAAACTGTATTTGCCACATACTCTAATCTTTGTTCCCTTCAAAGATAGTTGATAGGTCCCTTCAACCATTAATAATATTCTATACCAGGATAAGAAGACTTCCATGATATTTGATTATTATTGAGGCCTTCATAACTTCCTTCAAACAAAATATTAATAATACCATCAAGAGTGGTTCTTAATTCCAAAAGTATCACTAAACATCGGGAGTCCCTTCCAAGGTCATGGTACCAAATGCATTATATCTTACCATCTATTCAAGGAAAAATATGTCATTCTTGAAGATCTTCATCTTGATTTTATCATCTTAAAGGTTATAATATTCGCAATGACTTGTTTGATAGCTCGGCAAATGATAGCTCTTGAGTTGAATCTGCTGGTTGTTGGTTCTCCATCTCATAAGCACCAAAAAAAATAAAGAAATAATGATACAAGATAGAATGAAATCTCCATTGGACTTGCTTTGCTTTATAGCAAAGAATTTCTTGACTCTTCATCTTAGTTTTGATGGATGTCATTGATGAAAAGCTTTAATTTTAGCTGATGCATTTGTTAGATTCTTGGATGGCTCATATGTACATTCATGAATGTCATATCCAAGCCAATGTATTAGATAATTTAACCTATTTTGGCATTGCCTTGAATCTAAGACTTCTTATACTTCAAATTCTTCATTATTATTTACTTCTATATGAGGTGGTAGCATTTGTCTTTTTTTATATATATCCATTGTCTTGTATGGCTCAAGTAAAGATACATTGAATACATGATGGATTTTCATAGACTTTGGTAGGTGTAATCCATAAGCAAGTAGATTTATCTATTCACAAATGGAAAATAGTCTAAGTATATGATAATCCACCTTGTCACAAGGATGAATAGTTTTGATATTATGATGAAGTAACCACATTTTATCTCTCACATAGAATTGAGGTTGTTTCTTGTGATAGACATCTGCCTTGGCTTTTTGTTGTTCTTAAGTTTTTTTGAATTGTCCTTTCATTGTTACATGTAGCTTTGACAATCAATTTGCCACATCTTTTGTTATAAGATTATCAACTTTTGAAAAGTCAAAAGTGTCAAATCATAGATGATAATCGTAATTGGAAAAGAAAGATGTTTCTTGAGGAGAAGAATGTATCAAATTATTATAAGCAAACTTTATCAATGACAAAATAATTGTCCAATTGTCTTGTTGATACACCTCAAATATTGCTTTAAAACTTGATTTACTCGTTCTATTTATCGATCAGTTTGAGGATGAAAAGCCAAAGATAGTTTTATATCCACCTTCAATATCTTCAAAAGAGTTATCTAAAATCTTGATAAAAATTATTTTCCTCTATCTAATATAATATACCTTGGTAATCCATGACAGCCATAGATGTTGTCAATGAAGAATTTAGCTATTCTTTCATATATGATAGATTTTGTACATGATACAAAATGCACCATCTTAGTGAAACAATCTACAATCACAAATATGGAATCATATGAACTTGAAATTGAAAGATCCATGATAAAATCCATAGAGACAGAAAACCATGATTGTTTTGATATAAGTAATGGTTAGAGGAGTCCATAAGTTCTATAATGAGGATTTTTTGATCTTGAACAAATTTCACATGTTTAAATAAATTTTCTAACAATCTTCTATATTTGAGGCTACTAAAAATATTTGGATATAAGCTCCAGAGTCTTATTATATCCAAAATGCCTTAGTACAGGGAAATTATGACGAGCTTTAAGAGCACATAATTATGTTTCTTTTTTTAGAACATATAAGCATCTTTTGAAATAGAATAGGTTCTCTTTAAATTCAAACTTAGAAGTATTTTGAGACTTAGAATAATTATTTTTAATATCATGAATAAGAAGGTCTGAGGACAATCTTGCTTGGATCTACTTGAAAAAAGTCAAATCAACAATCAATGTTGATTTCATTGCTCGGAGATGAAATTGTTCTAGCTTTAATAAATTTTCTTTTGTTGATCAAAAGCTGCTTCTCCTTCTTTTGGTATAAGATAAGAACATCTAAAAAAGACATCAGACAAACTTTGTTGTTTTCTTAGCCAATAAGTGATATTGAACTCGAATCTTATCAAAGACATGTTCCAACAAGCTTGGCGATAATTTAAAACAGGTATTGACATGAAATATTTGAGGTTCTTATAATCTATATACACAATGATTGGACTTGAAGCACCTTCTAAATAATGATGCCTTTCTTAAAAAGAATTTATGATTGAAAGAAGTTCCTTATCATGGATCTCATAATTAATCTCGGTTGTTGAAATTTTTCTTCAATGAAAAGCTATTGGATGAAGTTTGTCATATACTCCTATTTTTGACAAGACTACACTCAAGGCAAAGTCAAATGCATCTATTTCCATAAAAAGTGTTTTAAAAAAGTCAACGCAATGCAAGATTGGTGTAGATATAAAAACTTTCTTCAAAGCTTCAAATGATGCTTCTACTTCTTTACTCTACTCAAGCTTGTCTTTATAAGTTAAGCATGTAAGTGGCACTACAACTTAAGAAAAGTTTTTGATGAAGATCTGATAGTAATTGGCAAATTTCAAAAAGCATTGTACATCTCTTATTGTTTTTTGAATCTTCTAATCCATGATTGTGTGAATTTTTTTAGGATCCATTATTAGATCATTGTTTGAAATGATGTATCTTACGAAGTCAACTTAAGTAGTGTAGAATATACACTTTTTCATCTTGGCATATAATCTTACATCTCTAAGTTTTTGTAACATACAATGAATATGGACTTCATATTGTAATATTAATTGATAATTTTAAAAAATAAATATAAGTAAATAAACAATTACACAAAATACTAAGTTTTTTACAAAAATTAATAGTCAATAACTTGATTTATTAAAATATTTATTATTTTCTAAAACTTTTCAAATAATAAAGACTTTTTTTAAAATCTAAAAAAATTGTTTGTATTCAAAAACGAATTGGAACTTTAATCATTTTTGAAGAAACACATCTCTTATAAAGAATTTTAAATTCTATAAATATGGAAAGAATTGCAAAGAACTTTGGATGAAGTAATTTTAATACTTATCTAACAATTAGACTACTTTGAAAATGATAAATCAATTTTTTTAACAAATTGAATCAGAACAAAATGACAACTTATTAATTTATAAATACGACTAAAAAAACCTTGCTGTCATAAGAATAGAAACAAAGAAAAGAAAATGATGAATACATATTTTATAATCTTAATATAAAAAAATAAAATACACCTATTATAAGAAACTACAAATTTGAAAACATAACAAATAGAATCTAATACAAAAGAACATGACAGACTTCAAGTACATAATAATGTGAGCATATTTGTTTTGTTTATCTTTTAATACTTCCATAGTTACAGTGCACATTCATTTGTGCTCAAAGAAAATTGAAAATGCACTGTCTGCTCTAATCATTTCAAACATTACTTAAGAGTTATTCTTTTTCACAACATTATGAAACTGGTTGCAAGTTAGTATACCTGTCGTCATTTGTGGAATGAAAAGATGGAAACATACAGTGGAATCATACTGTTCTCTTTTGATGCATTTCTCCGTTTGTTGATCGTAATGTTTCCCCTTCATGTTGGAGATTCAATTCTATACAAAGGGCAATCAATCCGTGCCCCTCGGCTTTTTATACAAGAGTTTCATCAAGTTGACCAGACTCTAAATAGTTTTTCTAAGGTTCCGGTTCATTCTAAGACCTCAGTGTCAACAACTAAAGGCGGTGAAATCGAACTGATCATCTGGAAGTAGATACAGTAAAGTCAATATGGCCAGAGGATCACGCACCTTAACATTCTACACTGAATAGTTTGCCCTACCCATTTTGTTACTTTCGTGTGCGCACTATCATAAAACTAAAAACAATGTAAAAAAAATAGTTCCTTAGTGTTCTTCATGTGATGAGTCTGGACGAAGGGATGAATCGGCCATCGAGGTAATCACTGGAATGTGGTAGAGCAACCCCGCTTTGGTTCACTCCACTGTGTAAGACTAACTCGTCCTCCACTCCCAGCATAGCGAGGGCCAGATGGGTCTGAATATCAGTGGTGCATTCATCGAAAGTGGAAGATTCTACAATGTTGAAATCACCTTCCTCGAGCTCTTCCTCAAGTTCCATGAGCAAGCTGTCCTCCCTCTCATCAGGCCTTAAGTGCATGTTTTGAAGCCTACCATAGCTACTGCAGAGTATTTGCAACACCTGCGAGCAATACATTATGCAGTATCAGACTGAGGAGACGACTCGAAGATTGTGATGTCCATTCACTAGCTAACATTCTGAACAGCATCCTTCATTTCAGTAGTTTATCTGCACCCAATGAAGCAGATGTACGATTATCAATGGGTTTTAGCAGTGGCTTGGTATAGATAGTGAATGAGAGACATACCTGACTCATTTGTGGTCTGCGCTGAGGAGATAGCTGTACACAAAGAGACGCAGCAAGTATCATTCTGTTCATCTGCTCCACGTCATAAACACCCTCCAGCCTCGGATCTACAATTTTGTCATGGTTGTTCTCGTGCAACAAAGGCCTTACCTAAACAAAGAAGTATGGTTACTTTGAGAGTTTTTCAACATGTACGATTCAATCATAAATTCTGACTGAAGAACATATGGAAAAATGGCTCCTCACCCAGTTGACAAGATTTTCTTGGCCTTTAGGGCTGGTATTATCGATTGGCATTCGGCCAGTGATAAGCTCCAGCAGTACAACGCCCAAGGCATAGACATCAGTCTTGTTGTTCACTCTTCCATACATGAAGTACTCAGGTGCAAGATATCTGCAACCAAAAACTCGTTAAGAATCCAGAAAATTGCGCACATCGATGGAGACTGAACTACAAAAGGTTCAAGTGAAATGAAGGTTTGTTGAAAGTACCCAAATGTCCCAAGAACGTCGTCGCACAGAATATGTGAAGCCTTTTTGGGAGCCCACTTGGCGAGCCCGAAATCCGACAACTGTGCAAGATAAAATGTCTTTCAGTGAATGGTGAGGAGAGGGAACAAAAACTTCAGATTCAAGAATATAACAAATTTCCAATGCCAAACTATCCCTGAAGTTGCCCGTTAAAGATACTGTTCTGTAGGACCACGTTTTTAGTGAAGTTGTCGTCTGACAACAGAGCAAGACCACATGCAACCAAACTTGAAACAATTAAGCAGGAAGTTTAGCCTAAGAGAAAACCTGAGGTTCAAAGTCGGCAGTGAGAAGAATGTTAGCAGTCTTCACGTCTCTGTGAATTACAGGACGGGAGGTGCCATTATGAAGGCAATCCAATGCTTTGGCTATGCCTACTGCTACTTTGAACCGCACAAGCCACGGTAAAGTGGGCGCATTCGTTCTAGCTACAGAGCCACAAAGTTTGGTCAATATTGCGAATAGCATCTGTAAGTCCGTCAGCAAGATTGTGGCAGGGAGGTGAAATTCTAAGTGGAATTGACTGCCGACCATCAATTTACGTAAAGAGAGTGTCATGGACTCACCATCTTTGACTGACGACCTTTCACTGGGTTTCAATTACATGCCAGAATTCGCTTAAGTGATGATTACAAAACCACGAAAGAATCGACGAGTAGACCGCTTACCGTGAAGACGACTTTCAACACTTCCTTCTGAAAGATATTCGTATACAAGAATCAAATGTGATGAATCAACGCAATAACCAAGCAGTCGCACAATGTGGGGATGTGCAGAGAGAGACGTATTGATGTCGACATCGTTCAGAAGCTCTTCTTCTGATTTTGGACCACGGTTCAAGCGTTTCACCGCCGCCACTTTTCCATCAGGCATCTTCCATTTGTATACCTCACTTCCGCCCCCACGACCCACCATATTACCTGCAGAGGGTAAACCCTTTCAATTACAGATAGGTACTTTGATAACTAGATTGCATTCTCCACTAGTCCTCATCCATGTAGGTTAAAAGTAAAAGGAGTGTCTGAAGAAAACTTACTTGCAGAAAAATTGCATGTCCCAGCTTCAATCTCCTCACGTGAAAATGATGAACACTTCCTATCTAAGCACAAGACTTTCATCCTCTGAGCTAGAGACGTATTTCTCCCAATTATATCGGGCACACTAAATTCCTTAGCGTTGAGAGAGATTGGTACACAAACAAAAGCATCTCTCGCAATCTCTTGCAATATTTTCGCGTAGATCTCTTCAGTCATTACCAACGTTGGTGACTTTGAGAGCTCCTTATTTCGATTTGGTAAGTGTAAAGTCCAATCCACGCTTGACGCACGACGATCTATTCGATTAAAAACACTTCTTGTCTTGTCTGAGAGTATCCGATGGAGAGGACTTCGAGGTGGCTTCACCTTGCCTGATACACATTTTTGTAGTAAGATTGGAGTAGACTTTTCTGAGGGAAGACTTTGCCGTGGACTTGGAGGAGACTCCTCCTCTGGAGGAATACATTTTGATGAATCCAGACCTGATGGTAGTTTGCCTGGACAAGGGCGGACTGGCGGTGCCATCAAAGAATTTTCTTCACCGAAACCTATTGAGTTGTACATGAGGGGCCATCCTGGTGTAACAACTTCTGAATCTACTGCTGCCTCTAAGATTCTTGGAGTCTCCAAATCACTGAAAGAAAAGCTGAAATCAGAAGTGTGACCAGACTCGGGATTAGATGGTGTACTTGGATGTGTATCATTCTGGTCTTGAAAGGTGAATTCAGAAGAGCATTCTGTTTTGGCTGGAAAATCCATAAGCTTTCTCGGATTACGTCCAAATTCCTGAGACAAAGACGTATCAGAGAGATAGCATGTCTCGAGTTCAGCGCTGTGGTATATTTGTTCATAATCTTGTTCATCACGACGTATCGCCTTGCAGACGAAGCTTAATGCAACATCACTAGGTCTCGGCCGGTCATCAAGATCACCACCACATTCATCAAGGGACGTCTTCTTGGTCCTTCCGAAACTCCTGAAGCTCCTCCGCAACTTCTTTATCATCTTTGTACCTGCAGCACGCAAAGGCCAATATATACGCAACTGCTGAATTTCCACTCGAGCGACCAAAAGAATTGATTGTGTCGAGAAGAAAACGTCACGACTCTTGTATTGGTATATATCTTCTACTCTGAATTGATGAGATGTGAGAAGAGTATTTACTTGTCGGGTCTGCACGGAGACCTCCCTTTTTTCGTGGAGAATAATTCTGACAGTGCTCTAGGACGATAACTGTGCATGTGAAGGGTAGCAGTCTTGAACAGTATCTGACAAGCGAATTGTTTTCCATGCAGAATTGAATGCAAATCCAAGAACAAATCATCACGCAAGTATCCAGTAAACTGGGTTCGGAGCAATTAAACAGGTACATAATAGAACCACCGAGCGATGAAGAGAATTTGAACTGCACGTTACAGGAGCCATTGCCTGCTTTCTGTGACAATCGTGAGCATGTATGAAGCATAGGGACTAGAAGGGATACCAAACAGCCAAGTGATTTATTAAGCTCAAAATGAGGGTGTGAGTCTCTTGGCTCCTTTGCAAGAATCTTTTTCACTTGAGCTCTCCAAAGGGTCCAAACCTCCAAATGTATCTATGGTTCGGAGATAATCATACGCTAAGGAAAATGATGCAGATTCTGCTGTGAAAGAAAGATCAACAGTGCGGGTCCACGATGATGAAACAGGTTCAGAAACAGCTTTTTGTATTGCAACCGAATGAAATAGTAATCAGACAAAGACAAGCTGAACAACTTCGAGTACGAAAAATAAATGAAGTGCGATTAAAATCGGTGTAAGACGCGCCACAGAAGGTAGTAGAGGCCAACCTGTAGAAAATTGCAGAGCTCCTCATAGATCTTAACAACTCCTTCAAGGTTTGCAGCAAGTAGCCGAAATTGTTTCTCGTGCATCGTGAGTGAAGTCACTGTGAGCACACACTATGCCCTATGAGATATCCGATTCGCACGCGCTCGCTTGGTTTTAGTTTGGAGGTCCACCTAGATGACACATTGTAGACTTCAGCTAGTAACAACTGACATTACATTCGAATATCAAGGAACTCTACATGTTCGATATGCTTATTGAGAAATAAGTTGGACGAAAACATGAAGGTCCAGAAGGAAGGCACCCGTACTAGCAAATTACTTAAGTACGATGGCATAAATTCCCTTTCTCAGATGAATATCAAGAGCACCGATAACTGAAGAAGAGTGACACACCTATACAGTCTATTGACGGGCAGAAAAATCGCCGACAGAGTCAGAGATGGTCAGTGCAGACCTTGCAGAGGAATTGCTGGAAAAATAAAAACACAAATACTAATCCTACATGATGTCATATATGACCACTATTGATGAGGAATTGTTCAGCAGACCTTGTAGCAAGTAACATGACATTTGCATGAGGACAAGACTGAGAATGAGAGAAACGCTGAGAAACCTCACGTGAATAACACTTTCCTTGCTCACGAAATAAAACTGAAATGCATTTTCTCCTCCTAGTCCACTACAGATGGGCAGTTCCGGCCAAAGTTCTACTAACGATGGAGCAAGCCTTTCAACGTTGACGTTTCTACGGTGAAAAGAAAACTCCATGAGAAGGTCGTGTCCATCCATGAAAAGGAATTGCTACAGGAAAAGGATGTCGCTTCGTTACCCGACGAGACTTTATGACGCACAACTTCTTGTGTTTGCGAACTCGGCGTGTCTTCTGTCATGCTGGCCAGCTCGTGGCCATTACAGTACTAGAATTCTCAGCTGAAAGAGCGCACTTAATCCTGTGAGCGGACCGAAGAATGGCATCTTCTGCCGAATTAGAATGTCAACCTTGCTGTACGGTTGCCTATATAGAGGTCCGGTGTATTCCAGTGCCGATGTCTGGGAGGAATCCACCTTGCTTATAAATCAACCGAGAGGAATCCCAAAGCACCTTTGTAAATTTAACACGTCAACAAAAGGAACGCAGTGCAAAATAAAGAAAGTCTATTTCAAGTATTAACACCGTAAAAAGCCGAAACAAAATGGCAAAGGACCATTCACCTATGGAAACGAGGGGAGGTTCTGGGCCGATCCTCTTTAACGCGTAACCGGGAATACTGTTGTTAGACTCGTAATGGTATCAGCAGCAGTGCTCGTTTGTCACGTGCATCACTGGGTTGTAAGAAAATCAAGGATTTGGTAAGTGGGCTTCCAGCGACCAAGGCAGAATGCATAGGTCGATCTTGTCGCCATAAGCCCATGTGGCAATGTCAGTTGGACCACACGTTGTCATATTCTGTTGCCCTCCCAACAATCATTGTATTTCAAGATGGGAAAGAAAAACAACTTTAGGGCTGGGTTGGGCAGAGCACATTTCGTGGCTAAACGAACACAGAAGAAAAGTCTTGATCCTAAAACCAACGAGAACTACTCGAGAAGAGTCGTTGTCAGAAACTCTAATAACAGTATTCAGATGGGGAGAATGACTGAGTCTGGAGAATGTAGCATTGTATGGGTGTGATTACCGAGCATTGTCTGTTGAGCAGCAGTTCACGGTGGCATTTCTACCTGGCTAGACGTTGAGCTTCATTTCCGAAAAGAAGCATTAGTCTACCAAATGATTGATTGTTGCTGGCTGAGCGTTGCTTTCTCCTGCCAGCAGTAACTCTTCCCTCCATTTGTTGCAGTACCGGGTTTGGCACCATCCTTGCGCAGTTTGAAACCCTGCTCGATTCACCCCAAGTTGTGCGGTGCAAGGATCGTCGAGCATTCATATTCAAATTCCAGCTTCATCTTCAAGTTGCAGAATGCGCAACATCCAACACCTTCGAAGACTGCGAAGCGTGTTCCTTCGAGTGTTATGCGGAGCATCGACGATTCCATGAGTCCCTTCGTTGTCGTCGTCGTCGAGGAGAAGGGGACTCTCCCAAAATGAGTTTTGATGTTGGTAATGGGAGAGTACGTTGTTGCTATATTTGTAACATTTTCTTTTTTTCTTTTTTTTATATATATGTTTCTCATTGCATAATAGAATGTGTTTGTATAAATCGGTTTGATCTTAGCAATAGTATTATTATTGAAGGATTTGATATAAATGATTAACAAATCATATTGAATTCCATTTCACAACCAACATGTGAATGAGACTTCCTAATTTGTATGGACTTATATTTGAGGTTGAAACAATACTTGCTGAAGAAAATAAATACTTTTGTAAGAAAATATTTGATGCTAAAATAATGAGACATTTAAATATCACATAAATATTATAATTTTTAAATATATATACATATACATATATATATATATTCTTGAAAGAGATATCATTTTTTTCATTTGTCATACAGACTACAAAATTAAAGATTAGAATGAATAGAGGCAACTTTGAATTAAAATGAAAAAGCACTTCTAACTTCTATGGTATGGACTTTTCAATTATAAGAAATTAATAAATAATAATATTACTTTCATTATTGACTTAATAAAAACAAATTGCTATTGTTATTATTGACTTTGTAATGACTCAATTACTTTGTGCTGCTTTACAAAGGTAGTGCATGTATTTGTTGTTGCAATTATTGTATTCCTTTGTGACTCATGTGATAAAAAAGAACAAAAATGATTAAAAAAATTTGGTTGTTTCTATATTTCTTATTTAGATGTATTTATTAGAAACAATTAGGTGTTCAAACATTCTTTAGAGTCATCTCTTTTGATGAAATTCTTTTTTTGTCTTGTCACAAGATGGTCAATGATGGCAGAGGAAGATGGGCAAAAATTGAATGCTTATAGGAAAAAGTTCTTATTACAAGCCACATGAAAGTTGTGAATGACAGCGAATAGACACCGTTTAGCCCAAGCCTTCCTGAAAAGGGTGGGATCCAAAAAAAGACGCCAACCCATGTGTGATATGAGGAACAAATTATATTCTCAGGTCCCAGAATGAGTTTGTCTTTTAAGTATTTGCAGAAAAGTTGCTCCATCTAAAGCCAACATGGTGTCCTAAGGTTGCATGTTAAGATCATGATGCACGAAGCAGAGCAAACAATTTCTCACTGCCTTCTCCATTCCATCATTTACTGACACTTTTCTCTGAATTTCAAACGAAGGTGGAATTGCGGAACCTCCATTTTTGATAACCTTGCCAGGAGGGATCTGTGGAAGAACTTTGTGCAACAGATGGTCTCCCTGGAAGATACGCAAATTGGTTATCATGTAATCTAAACTGAACAACTCAACAGCAACAAGACCTCTCCCAATTTTTATGCTGAAACATAAGGATTTACTGGGACTCTGCCCTTGAAATGAAGCTGGAAGCAAAGATGGTGGACTTCTACTCCTTTGTAATGTGAGTGCTCCAGGTGTTACTTATCCTACGTTCCATGGAAACTATACAGCAGAAAGTGAACAAATCTGAGTGAACAATCAGTAGCTTACTCATCATCCTCATGACTGTATCCCTATCAGGCAGAGCTGGAATTGCTCCTCGCTCAGTTGTGGTAATAGCTCCACACACGTTAGCAAATTTCAGAGCTTCTCTCAACCGCTGTTCATCCTGAAATTACAGATGCCTATTAGAAACTATTAGGGATGATCAGTTACCAAGTGGAATTTCGTCATCATCAGATGAAATGGCATTTCGAGATGAGGTCCGCATCCTGAAGTATCGTTTCAAAAGTTCAAATACCCAAAGAAGCAAGATGATTCCTAGAATGTGGAGTTGATAGTCAGTTTTCTTGTGAGAAAAGAGAACGTTGATAAAACTACAAGAAATTGTTAACGCAGATAAGATTTAAAAAATAACTAAAAAATGGTCGGCTTTATCTGAAAACCATGTACTAACATCAATGAGGCCTGGATCCTTCACAAGATTGCTTAATAGGCCAGCACAAAATGCGTCACCGGCCCCAGTTGTGTCAACAACCTGTACTTTAATACCGCCCACTTTTCCCCGGAATTTCTGCATGCTCAGATTACACTCAAAGGATTAGTGCTGCAACCAATCGATCATCAACATGGTCAGAATGCTTATCACAAAGAAAAGGACCAAATCAGCAAATACGCGACACAATATTGGTACACAGTTGAGCAGTCACAAAAGATAATGTAGAACCCTTTCCTCACTGTACAGCAATTTAGGAGATTATTTGTCAGCAAATCTGAGTGAAGTATACATTGGAGTGTTTAGAAGAAAACGCATTGCGATTTAAGGCAAGACTACATCAGTAGCTCGTACTACAGAACATTCTCCTTGAAAAGAAAACCTGCTTTGAGAAACGCGTTCATACCGGAGTGTAATACCGGCATCCTTCCCCACCCTCGGTAACAAGCATCAATTTGCATTTAGGATGAAACATTCTCATGTTATTCTCGTCCTTCGTGGGATCCCCACCGGTAAGGAATACCACTTCCTCGTCACTAACCTTCAGTCATTTCACATAAACGCACACCTCCCATATCAGACATTTCAATCCATGTAGTGCGTTATGAAGTCTGCTAATATTTGTGACGCACAAGAGTTTTTTTTGGATAGCAAACTACCTTTATAATATCAGCTTCATCCCAAATGCTCTTAATACCCTCTTTAGCAGCCTCTGGTGAAGGCCATAATGGCAGTCGAAGATTTGGGTCATAAGACAACAAGCACCCAGCTTCTCTGGCAACTTTCATGGCTTCCATGTGCGTTGAACGTGAGGGCTCCGTGATCAAGCTGATGGATCCGAAATGCAGTATAGCGGCCTGTAAATGACATTGTATAATATGATCATGATATTTACTCATTGAAATTGACAAACTGTGCGACTTGTCATGAGCATTTTATAGAAAATCTCATTTAACAACAGAACTGGAATTCACACCAACCCACCAACGTCAAGCAATTGTTCAAGTATGAAGGCTCCGTGAAGCAGGAAAATCAGAGAAATGATGCATGAGTACCGCTTTGAGAATATCAGTATCAAGCTCCTTCGTCTCAAATAACATATCTGCACTAGGGTTACGATAGAACATGAATTCACGCTCCCCATCAGCTCGCAATGTTACAAACGCAAGTGCAGTCCTGGCATTTGGATCAAAGCGACAAGCTTTTGTTTCCACTCTGTTCTCTTTCAACACCTCCACCAACATGTACCCAAATTCATCATCTCCAACCTAACGCCATCAAACAAGCTTCAGTGAGTCTTTTGTTTCTTCATGGAAAAATGGGAGGTTAAGGCATAAGGCATGCAATTAGCCTGCAAGGAAGCAACGATGATGTTCTATCAACACAGTTGGATAGCACTCCTAATAAAAACAATTATCAAGATGTTGAAGACGGGCGAATGTGATGGATCCAGTACATCTACTCCGCAACTACTTTGATAATCCATGTAATAGTCATGTCCTAATTTCCACAGCCTCCACAGTTGGTAAGGCAATTTAGTAGTACCTTGCCAACAAAGGCAGCATTTCCCCCAAGCCTTGCAATCCCGACGGCAACGTTCGCGGGTGCACCACCAGGCGCTTTCTTAAACGCTGGGGCGTCAGCCAGCGAAAGTCCTCCCACAGTGGGGACAAAGTCAATGAGCAACTCCCCAAAGCACACCACCAATTCATTATTGCTCTTAGCTGTTCGGACAATACAAATGCCAAACAACCGAACATGCCTCAAACCATCTCCAGAACAACCGTATTAAAATCAACAAGATGAAATTGAACACTACACGCTCATAAAAGAAAAGTATATGCACGCGTAGAAAATCCAGGAGAGGCTAGAACATTAACCTTGATCAGGAGTTTGGGACCTGCTGCCAGGGGAGGAATAGAGATCAAGATTCCTGTCAGGAGAGTCACATCGTGAGTGACTCCCACCACTGCTGCAGTGGTGTAAGTGAATATGGTGCCTTCCTTTGCTACCACGACGAGTAGGGAGAATCGGACTCATAGTATAAACACACGACGATTAGAGGGATGCAGCAGGTCGTCTTACATGTTTACAAAATTGTTGAAACCCAGTCAAGTCAGAGGACGTCGTGACAGAGTGACGTGAAATGCGTTCATGCATGGATTCGAAGAGACGCCCTAACGCACACGCACATCATCGCACCTTCTGTCTTCCTTCGTTCTCGATCCCTATTGTTCCTATTCTTTTACGATACTCTTTCCATGCGTTGATCCAGCCCCTCTCTCGCTCCCTCGCCCTATCTCACTGGCATTTCTTGACCGTCATACTCCCGCTCACCATCGCTCAGTTCAAATAACGTAGTAACAACCGACTCTTGCCGCTTGTCCCAATTTACCATCGACACTTCACTTTGTGACTCACCCCATATCCCGAGATGTGCCGCAATGACATGAAACCACACACATGCAGCATCTCCGGACACCCAAGGTTCATCTCCGTGCTGACACTCCAATGCATTCACCGCGAGGAATAATCCTAACTGAAAGCTCGCGACGTCCAACCCACCAGCAATGATTCTCTGTTTCTCATCCGTAAGTAATTACTTTACTTCCTTCCTAATACTTCACACACTATGTTCGCCCACAAAATTGGCAGAGACGGTTACGGGGGCGCATGAGACAGATTGGCAGGCTCATGCGAATGACGTAAGAACAAAAGAGACTGGAAAACAGCTGCTACGTCAAAGGCTGTAATGTAGGACTGAAACTCCGTTCCAGAGGAGGGAAGGAAGGAAGGAGACGCAGCTGAATGGATTCGTGTAGGAAGTGGACGATTTCGTGAAGAATGGCGTGGTTTCTCGCCACTTCGGTACACGTATCATTGGGATGTTCAACGGTTGACATTCAAGCTAAAATCATGTAGAAATAAAAGCCATAATTCAACTGACTAATATTGTCTGTCTTTCAAGCTTTTGGGTGTTTTAAGATTAGTGGAGGTCGTGGGCGAAATCAACCCATCTATCCATCCGCTGAAAAAAGTCTCTTCTTTAATTTGTGAAGATCTAATATAGTGTTAAGTTGCTAAAGTCACATACGAAAGTCAAGTCTTGAATACCGAGACTTTATTCAGCAGAAGAGTAAGTTGAAAGAATGAAATTTATGTTATCTATCTACGCTAAGGGCTTTTAGTCTACTACCGCAATCTTGCTGCAGACTGTGAGCCTTCTGTATGCACGGGCGCCCATGTAAAGTTGAATCCCGACCTAAACCTGAGACGTCACCCTCCACATTCCTGTAGTGATGGAAAAAAATAAATAAATAAGACAAATGCTTTAAATCATTGCCACGGAGTAGCCATTCGGATGCTGTTTGCGCCATCTCCATGCATCGGATAGACTACTTTCCAAGTCAAGATGTTGAGCAACCCAGTTCAGTTCGCGTCGAATCTTGGATGGGTCGCTGTAAACTTCGGCATAGTCGCCTGGTCGTCGATCGAGGATCGTAACAGTAACGTTCACACCTGTTGCAAATTTGCAAGCCTCCACGAATTCTTTCACAGAACTCCCTGCCATTCATAGGGGTATGCACAAAACGTTTCCTTCTTGATTCAAAAAATACTCTCTGGAATTCTTCACTTGAAGATGATACAAACTAAACACAGTCCAGAACAGAAAATGTGAGCGAGGATTGTACCTTTGCCAGTGCCGACGTTGTAGACAGAAACCTCAGCCCTCTTCGCTTTCTCTAGAGCCTTGACGTGGGCATCCACCAGGTCAGTAACATGAATATAATCACGAATGCAGGTGCCGTCTGTCGTATTGTAGTCACTTCCCCTTACCTAAAGAGCAAGCAGACTTACGGCTCAGAATATTCCTCACACCTCTATCGATTACGCAAAAAAGAAGTTTGAAAAAAATGTTTGTAAATGACATATTTTTGTAAGAAAACAAACGCAATTCATCACTGCAAGCAAATGATTTCACTAAACCGCTTATGAATTCTTTACAAATTCGCAAGGTACAAACCTGTATTCCAGGGATAATCCCCATCGCAGCGTCAAAACATGCTCCCGAAATGCGAGCATGCTTTCGGAGCTCGGGTCGTGGAGCTTCGCCAAGCCTGCCCTTTGGATCTGAACCAATGACATTGAAATATCTCAGGATCATCACAGAAAAGTCAGAATTTTTTGCGAAGTCCTGGATGAGATCTTCCGACATTTTCTTCGCCTTCCCGTAGGGGTTGATCGGCACCTGTTGAAGGAAAACCAGGAGGACAATCACACAATAAGGCTAACTCTGATCTGGACTATAAGTTTCATAGTGAAAAGATGTAGGAGTGGGTGTGTGTGCGTGTGTATATATTTATATACTAGAAACATAGCTAGAAACAAGCAATTACAAACTGCAGTTCAACGTAAATACCTGAGGGGTGGTTTCGGTGATGGGCATCATTTCAGGCTCACCATATGTTGCACAAGTGCTTGAGTAGATGAGCTTCTTCACACCATATGTCTTCATGGCCTCCAAGACTGTCAACGTGTTGAATGTGATGTTGTGGTAATACCGCAAAGGATCGACCATGCTTTCGCTCACATATGCAATGGCCGCAAAATGCATCACAGCATCTATGGCATTCTCCTTAAAAATCTCGTTGACGCGTTTGCTGTCACCGAGATCGCAGTAAATGAACTGCAACCTGCCCGGTTCTGGAAACAAGGCTTGCAATTGCTCCACCGCTCCCATGTTACCACGGGACAGATTATCCTGTATGCCCCGTACACATTAGATCAGTCGTGTGAATGGGGAGCACTCCTGCACCTCAATACCATTATTTAATGCAATATTTCCCGTTCATCTCTTCTACAGCATCTCTGGTTGATAATCGCTGATTGAAGAGAGTTGAGTGGCATACAACAATAGTCACACGGTGTCCATCTTCCAGCAGGCGCAATGCGGCATGCGAACCAATGAATCCGGCCCCTCCTGTCACCAGCACATGAGTCACTCCTCTCTCATGCGTCGCAAACTACAAAAAATTGTCCAGTGCACATGCAAGCCAAAATCTTTAGTCACTGGAAATTCATCAAATACGCCTTCAATGCAAGCAATAGCTTACCAGTAGATGGAAGAAATGAGAAGCGTAACTAAAGAATTCAGTTAAACTAGCACTCCAGGATTGCATACAAAATAGAATCGTTCATGTGAATAGGTTATTGGCATGCAAAAGGTGTAGCAGAACTTGGGATTATCACCTTGCTCAGACCAGTGAAAGAAGGAGACTGGCGTAAGGCACGCATGCAAATGGCAGTCAGCAACACTACCAGAAGCACCTTGCTAACAAAGAACAACCGAGGCTGCATACTTGCCCAATCAACACCTGCCCAAAGACCCCCCACAAAAGTTTAGTATCCACTTGAATATCTCCTCCAAGAGTAGTGGAAATCCCTCGGAGGAAGCTCACGTAAGAAGTGAAGTACTAATTAATAGTTTTTTGTACTGTGATTTTTAGTACTCCTTCATATTGGAGCAATCAAGGGTGTCCAAAAGCCGTGTGCAGCTCGCGGAGACTCGATTTTTGTTTCAGGGGATTAACGTGCCACAAGTTGTCGAAAGGTCTAGACCAGCAAGAATGAGGCTCAGTGTCTAAATTGATGAGTGTAAGAGGGCATGCGCCTTATTGGGTCACTCCAAAGGGAAAATTTGAGATGCAAAATCACGACAAAAGAAACACTTTCGTTACCATGCACGCACGTGACTATTCCTATCACACTGTTTACAGCGTCCGCAAAACTTTCAGTAGAGACGATCGGAAATTCGCTACCACTGACACTGCTTCCAGAAACATAACATTGAAATGGGAAATCCCAAATCACATTGTACTTCTGGCATCACAGAAAAAATGAAACAACTAAACAAGAAAGCTAACAGAATTTGCAAAAGATACTGCAGTCCTCTGCCAACCTGAAGAAAAATTGCTCCGTAAAACAACAGACAAACGAAGAATACTGTTCTTGTGAACCTCGATTCAGTGTATTCGTCCCAGAGACTCAAAGGTGGTGCTTGCCGCGCATGTTGACAACGAACTCGTGCAAGTTCGGAGGAAGAAAATGTAGGACAAGAAAATACCTCCAAAATTATTCATCCGGTATGGTCTTGGGCTTCGGCGTCGGAAAACAGGCGAAGTGGGACCAACAGGCAGAGCCAATCCCAGGCTACCCATTGATGCTCACTCCACAAGCTCAGCTCTCTGAATCCTTTTCTTTTTTCTTTTTTGTGAGCCGTTCAAAACTATGTCAAAGATGCACTAAGACAGCCGAAATCAAACTATTGTAGAATGCATAGAGTCACCAGTCAACATCGGTGGCGACGTTGAAAAGGAAAAGAAATTAAATATGACGCTCGTTTTGAGGGCCAGACGCGACTTTTCCCCTTCAAATATCTTTTCTCCCTTGCTCATCCGGCATCTTCCCCTCAAGTCCCAAGTGAGCCCCACTTTGAAAGTGAAGTATTAATAAAAATAAATAAAAAATAAAAAATAAAAAAATGAAATTTTGAAAAGGGAAAATTACATGTAGACGAAGCTTCGCGCCGCTAAAGCAACGGGGAGCGAAATGTCAACAACAACGTAGAACCGAGAGAACAGCGTCACTCTCAGTCCTTGCCTTGCTCCAACGTCGACCTCCTCTTATCAACCACCTCTCATAGACAAGCTTCTGCATCCGCCTGGAACGAACAACTCCCACACTGCGATCTCTCCAACCCAAATAAAGAAGACACAAAAAAACCGAGCGAACAACGAATGCATCCCAATGCAGCCACAGCTCCAAAAGACCAGCCACAACAACCACTGTCTCCGAGAAACGCGACGTCAAAGCGACGAGAAACTGATACGCGAGCTAAAAATAGCAAGTCGCGGGAGGGCTCTTATTGGGCCAAGGCAAACACAACACTAGTTATTCGTAATAAGGTGCTGTAGCTCTCAAGTGGAGCACGTCGCACTCACGTCGGATAGTTCCGTGGGCTGTCTTGCAGGTGGTACCCGCAACAAAATCCCTGAGGGCACAACAACACTGTCACGAGCAGCGCACAAAGGCCAAGTGGCGCCCCCCCTTCCTCAGGATCCCCTCCTCGTGCACTCCCCGATATCGATTTCTCCCCCACACGAGCGCGTCACCACCGATTCAATACGGAATCAGCAAGCAGTGCATTCGAAATCGCTTCGTTGCAGGGCAAACATGCAAGCAAACGAGTAAGCAAAAGTGGGCAAGTCAGTACGTAAGTCGCGGAGGCTACGTCACGAATTTCGGGGGCTCGTCTTCCAGCGACCTGTCTGTGGACTGGACTGGACGAACGAGCGGACGAACGGGCGGACGGGCGGATGGACAGACACATGGATGAACGAACGGGTGGGGCTGTTTGATGGGTGGATGAGAGTGTGATGGATGAATGTCGTTCGTAGATGAGTGGATGGGTGGAGGAGTGGGAGAGATTATTTTGGTGTACAATTTTTTGTTTTGGGAATGCTTAGAAAGTTCTTTATATATGCAACTGCAACTTTGGGAATTACAGCATCTGATTTGGACCTTGTCGTTTCAATCAAATTGAGATATTAATCTACTTTCATTTCAATTAAATTATAATTGAAATAAGTTTTCATTAATGTATCAAGTGTATGCAATAAATTGCAAGCTTAAATCACTTTTGGAATGTTTATTAATTATAATCGTTAGTCGTTAGAATCTTTTGGAGTCTTCTGTTATCTTTTGAAAATTTTCAAGTACAATTTATAATATTCTTGAAGTTTTTCATAGGTTATCATAGTTTTCTAAAAGTTTTGACAAAAGATTCTTTGAGTTTTTAGAATGTTAAATAATTCTGAGAACATTCTCTTAGAAAAAAGATAAAGAACTTGGATACTATGGTAAAAATAAACATACGAGACAAGGATTCTTATTGATTTATTTTTTTGTAAACTTAGTACCTGTATCAATTTATAAAAATCTAAGACAAGTGATATTTGAAAGAGGGAAAAAAAAAAAAAAAAAAAAAAAAACTACTTTAACACTTGACTGTGTGTTTTTATACTACACCAAGACTACTAACCTCTACTATGCATATAGAACCTAAAAAATAAAAATAAAAAAAGTAAAAAAATAGTATAAAACTCAATAAAACAATTCACAGTTAGAATCTTTTCACAATATTTTCTTAAAGAAGTTTATTATAAACTAATGGTGTGTGTATGTATGTGTGTATATATATATATATATATATATATCCTCACAATTAAAAATATTGTAGAAGTGTTAGAATTTTAAATTAAAAACAAGCCAAATATAGTATTTATTAATCTTAACTTGACCTTGTAAATACACATGTTTTTGGCAAATTCTAAGAAAAATAGATTTTCTTTTTCTTTTTCTTAAATATAGTTTTTAGTATTTAGAATAGAGAATCAGTAATAGACTTAGAACAAGAAATATTTCTAAGTCCAAAATAATATCAATGCCTAACTTCAGAACACAAATATGAAAAACAAAAACATTTGAATGGTCTTAAATTTGTTGAAAAGTCAAAGAAAACAATCTCTTAGCTAACAAATGATGATTATATATGCAAAGAAAAATTGTTATATTTTGGGAATATTTTTGGTCTCTTCAAAACTTTGCATGTCTTTGTACTTATTTTTAAACACATTACAACATATTTATTAAAATTGGTGTAAAGAATTTTAATTTATCTTATGACCTGGAATGCACAAGAGTTAAAGTTTCAATGTATCAATAATAAGGTTTGGTATGATCACTTCCTATTTCTAATAGATTATGGTTATTTTAATTAGCATATTTTATTAAAAAACTTGAAGTTTTTCAAAATATGATTTTAACTTAAGATGTTTAGATTATTTGTCTAAGATAACTATTCAATTTTTTTTTAATAAGTATTTTAAATCTTAAACCTATGATTACTTTTTTCATTACAAACTATCTAAACTAATAATTTAGTATTTTTATTAGGAAATCCTATTTAAAATAATTAAATGATAATACACATCTATTTAGTATTTCTTCTTCTTATTATTATTTCTTAAAAATTATATTAAAACTTTTTTAATTTAATTATAAATAAATAAAATATGTTTTTAAAATACTATATTTAGTTAAAATAAAATTATTTTATACATTTACAAGAGTGAAACATTAAATTCAAAACCATACAAGATATTAACATAGTTATACAATATATTTATAAAGATTTTCTTAGTTTTATACAAGATATTAACATAGTTAAACAATAGTTTGATATACCAAAATCAATTCATACTTAGAAAGTTAAAGATTATATTATATAGATGACATCACTAAAAGAATCTCACAAAATATAAATACCAAGATATGTATGAAAACGTGGGAATAAGTAAATTAGAAGACATTAAGAACTATTTTAATTTTAATTTTTTCCTAGTCAAGGTTATTAAGTCATATCTTCATAAATTCAATATGTTAAATTGAAAGATTATGTTATCATGAAATATCAAGACTTTAAACATGAGTATTTTTTGTCACAATTACTAGATAAATTGCACTACTTTTCATAGCTTTCACAATCTGATAAACAAATAGAAATAAAATAAGACCCTCTAAAATTCATGTATAAACTTGCAATGAGAAATTGTACACTACATTGAAATTTGAGATAAATTTTTTTTAATCAAAACTTAAACCTTAGTTAAACTACTACATGCCATTGAACCTAGTAGCCCATAATTCATCTTCCGAGGATGTTTTTGAAAGCCTAAATTAAAGACCAACCTATTGAAATATGACAAAAAAACATACATACTCTTTGTGGTAAATTACTTTACAATCATACCAACCATAATTTATTGGTTAAAACTTCAATTCCTCTCTGTAACATAATAACTAACAAGTCTGAAAGAAAAGGAGAAAAACAAATAAATAAATAAATAAATCCTGAAAAAACGTAAAGAGTTGTTGGTGTAGCATTGAACTGGAAAACCACCATTCACCTAACTCACGTGCCAGCTTACCTGCATTCAATTAGCTTGAATGCGTCACTGGGATTGGCTCCCATCTCTGAGGCACCTGGCTGACGTGGACATACCGAGGTAAGATCGCGCCACTTGTCATGATTCTGGCCTGGAGATCACGTGGGTCCCTTTTCCAAGACGCTTACAAGTGGCAGCCACTGGGCGGTAGACAGGATGAAGATATTCTGCAATGAGGGATGAATTTTGGACAGGTGGATGAATGCTCTTGGTGAAAATGGATGAGGAATCCTGGTTTCAAGAAGGGCTGACTGGCCAGCTGACTGACTCGGGTCAGCTTTGGCACGTACCCCCAAAAAACAAAAAAAACAAAAAAAATGAAGACAGTCAAATGAACTTAAACAAGGAAACGTAAATGACAGGAAAACGAGTGGAAGTTGTGGAAAGTGTCCAAGAACTCTGTTGAATTGTCTAAAGAAAATAGAAAACTGTCGTCCTGTAAGTAATTAACTTCCAACATAGGATCTCATTACCTTGTTTGGAAATTCAAACATCAAGACTCTGTAGATCAATGCACCTTGACCAAGTGTGAAATCACTGTAATATCAACCTACACCAGAAAAAACCCCAAGTTCGTACATTTTAAAGATTTTCCTTTTATTGCACTTTTTAATCATTTTTTTAATTTAAATATTACCAACCTCGAATTGCGATTCATGTTTGTTCGAGAATAAAACGGAACCCCAGACATTCTTGCATACAGCTTCATTTCATGTTGAGATTGGTTTAAGAGCCAGTCTAAGTGTACACCTGTGAACCTAACAACCTGAGCTCAATCACAAGCATACGAAAGACACTGAAACAAGAATATGGGTCCACTTCATATACAGCAAACATCAAGTACAAGCTGAGAAGGGAAAAGGAGCAAAAACTTTAATACAAGACAGAAGACCAAGCTGGTCCTTTGATGCAGTTCACATGACTCAAAAATGGTCCTCAACGATCAAGCATGATGTACCAGAAGCCATGTCCGAAGCAGCAGTCATAACCGAAAGACAACTGGAAGATCTCTGCAAGAGAGTATCTCTGGTTCTATACACACTTCTATGTGTCTTGAAAACCCTGTGCCGAGCTCCTTCCGAAGATCAAACAAAGACTTTGAGAATGAACTCCAAGCTCCACAACTGAACCTTTGTCTGCCGAGTTAGAATCTCGGTGGAAGAGCTACAAGATGATGAACATTGCCCCCGTCAAACCTTACCCAGCTGTAGAACCCATCCCAACGCATCTCTAAATGTGCTTCATGTGGCGATTTGCTGAGGAAGTCGGAGTTATGGCAAAACCAACACCAGGTTCTTGTGGGATCTACAATAAGAAATAGATAGGCAGTCGTAGGTGAACAAATCATCCTGGAAGTGCGATGAGAATCATTACTAACAAATAAGAGGAGACCTGACTTTAGGAACAACCCATACTAAATGCAAGACTTTTAGCTTACGATCACTCAGTGATGACAATCACTACGACCCAACCAGGATCATCATCATATTTTGCTGGTGGTTGGTCATGGCTGCCTGCAAATCAATCATTTCTCGGAAAGCTACCCAAGCTCCGAGAAATTATCAACGGGCAAAAGAATATACAACTAAGTAGTCGTATAACTGGAAGTATACAAGCTGGCTGTTCAGAAAGAAAGCCCATTAAGAATCACTTGGTCGAGTGATCACATCTTTAAGAGCAGGTTGAGTGGCGTGCTGTTGAACCGTTGTGAAAACCCTCGAATAACTAGCACAATTACGTCCCGGATATGGCGAGATTGCACCATAAGGTCGACTTCATTCTCCGAGTCCATGACGATCTTCAACCGATGCTGGTCATTGCGGAAAACTTCCACATGGAAAGGAGGTGTGTACGTGCCACGCAGCTCATTGGACGCGAAGTGAGTCTTGGATCCTGGCTTCACCACCTTCACTCGTTTTTTATTTACATCTAGCACCCGTCGCTCCAAGCTTCCAAGCCCTTGCTGGTTCTGTGACTTCATAGGCGACCGGTCACGATCACGCAAAGCTTCGAATTTCACCACACCGAGCTCCAGCTTCTGTTTCACCTCTTTTGAGACCTCCGGATCAACAATGATGGGATCAGTTGAGGCGGACACGGGACCACCTGCTACGCCATCGTCTCTCACTGGGGTGTACACAGCAACAAGCCGGTAACCGACATCGTCAACATTCGCTTCATACATGCGTCCCACTTCGCCAGATATTGGGATCAGGTCGGGACTTCCTGCCATTGCTCGGAACCACTGAAGCAAGCTTTTCCCCTCCTTGCCACCGCTGTAAATCCCCCGCACAGCATACAGACTGGTATGGTAACCACGTCCCTCAATCTCCAAATTCTCCACCCTGGGAAACCCCGAGGCAACGGGAGGAGTAATGATGGATGCGGGCTCAGCTGATCTGCCGAAGACGTCAGTGATAATACCTTCGCATCGCAAACAGTGACCGACATCTTCAAGCCTCACTTTGTATGTGCAGGAGCGTTGCGCTGGAAGGGGCTCGAAATGATCGGTGGATTCGGGCTGCCATGAGCGTGACCACTGATACTTAATGTCCCTCTTGAACTTCTCCCATGACTTCTGCTGGATATCTCCCTTGGGAATAACTTCCAAGGCAGTGAGGACCTCCCCTTCAATTGGCTTTCCTGAAATTACCAACTTCTGGATCCTCGGGATCTCAGGGTAGATGAGAGGACTAGGTTCCGATAGCACCAGCTCCCCAGCAACACCGTCATTGCGAACTGGGGTGTAACCAAACACAAGCGAGCATGTGTAGTCGTCGTCTACAACTGTGTAGGACTTGGAGTGTGCATCCGCGATGAGGGTACGAAGGCCACCAGTGGTCTGCCGGTACCAACTCATCACACTGTCACCTTCTCGCCCACCATAGTATTCTCCTTCTCCTTCAAACACACCATATGAGACTTCTTTCACGCTTACGCTGCGCACAACAGGAAGTGCAGGCGCCACAGGTATATTGCTGTGGGCAACAACAGGCGACCCTCGCTTACCGTCGGCTCGCACTGGTATCCAATGCAGACACAAATACGATGCTACGTCATCTAATTTAGGAGTGTACACCTCTTTGTCGCTGAGGAGGCTCGCATCCTCTGGCAGCTGTCCATCTTTCGGCTTTTGGCCGGCTCTATACCATTTGTACTCTCCCGGTCCTTCTTTGCCACCAAAATACGACTTGCGAGGCACGACCTCAACATCTTCAAAACACTGGGGTATCATAAGCTCCATCCCTTCAGGATCCCCATCCACAACTACGTCCGTAAACGAAGACCGAGAGTTTCCCACTACGCCATCTTTCCGGACTGGTGTGAAGACGAGCTCAATTCTGCTGCCGACATCCTCTGACGTGAGGTCCAGAATCTCGTCGGTACTCAACAAGACTTCACTCCCATCAGGGTTATGACGCACCCACTCATACATGCAGGTGCCCTTTTCCCCGCCCTTATAAGCGGCACTGAAGCTAAGGCATCCTCCTTCGACAGGCAACCCGAAAACCTCCAATGAGGTACATGTCGGAGGCGATGGAGCCACAGGACCCACGCTCGACGAGACAGTAATAGGGCCCGTCACACCATCACTCCGGACCGGCTGACACGAAACACATATCAGTCCCTCGATGTCTTCGCTCTGCACCGTGTAGGACTCATGCACAGCGGCTTTGATTTCACGCTGCGTTCCATCGTGTCGAGTTAGGAACCACTGCACCTTGCAAATGCCCTCTTCCCCGCCCCAATACTCCTTCCCCACCTGGAGCTCGTATCCTTCCATGGGCTCTCCGATAATGTGCAAGGACAGCAGCTTCGGAGAACCAGCGCGGATACGCTCTGATCCATAACTTCTCTTCCAGTCACCCATGATACCATCATCGCGCATAGGACGGCACTGGAACGAAACAAGCTTGTTCACAGTCTGCCTTGTCACCCGGTACTGAAGCCGCCCTTCTGCTTCCGGAATCACAGAACCAGGATCATTCTCGGTGTCGTGCCAATACCAGCTATACAGACTAGTCCCTTCATGGCCTCCTACATACCCATATTGAGCTGTCAACGTTTCCCCCTCTACAAACTCCCCGACAATATTCAAAAACGTTAAACTCGGGAACAACATCTCTACAACGGTTTCTGATATGGCATACACAGATTCGCCAGCCTCCCCATCCAACCTCACAGGGGTGTACTTCGCAACCAAATGATGTCCCACAGCGCTCAGAGGGATTCGGAACGCCTTGGCAACTTTGGCACTGCATAGGGGCTCCAGAGAGGAATAATCTGCCGGCAGCGGGAAGGAGATGCTCTTGAACCATTGCACTTTGCTGGCGCCTTCTACGCCACCAGTGAAGACGGCACTCACAGCAACCTTGCTACCTTCCTTGAGATCCCCTACAATACGCAAGTTCTCAACCTTGGGAGGGGCAAGCAAGACAGTGGTACTAATGGCGGTCACAGGATCGCCAATCTTGCCCTCCGCGTTGACAGGTGTGTACATAAACATCATCCGCCGACCCACATCTTCAGCTGTCAGGGTGTAGTCGAGCTCCCCTCGTGAGACGAGCTTGAATTCACCCGATTCCAGATTCTCGCGAAGCCACTCTAACTTGCTCGCTCCCTCCTTACCTCCGAAGTAATGGCCGCGCCCGTGGAGCACATTACCGTCCACTGCTTCCCCTATGATCTGCACTGCATCCACACTAGGCGGCGCAGCTTGGATAATAGAGGTTGCAGCATAATGAGGTTCACCACGCACTCCATCTTCCGTCATTGGGGTGTACATGTATATGAGGCTGTGCCCCACATCATCGAGAGTGAGCCGATGGTCTGGCTCCTCAGCTCCCATGATGGCAACGGGGCTCGTGAGCTCACCACGCCGCAGCCAGCTTGAGACAGACTTACCAGGAGTACCGCCACACCATGCTACAACAGCTGAGCCTTTGAGAATCAGGCCTTCCACAGTGTCGCCATCCACTTCTATCTCCAGCACTCGAGGACACTTGCTGCCGGGAGCAACCGGAGCGGATATTGCGAAGACAGGAGGATACTCTGTTTCTCCTAGCACCATGCTGCACTCCACTTTGAGGCAATTACCAATGTCTTCCTGCTTTGGCCAGTAGCTGTCAGTAACGCATCCCTCTATAGGGGTGAAGTTGGCTGGAGTTTTGTCTCCCACGAACCACTGATACTTCAAGCGAAGCTGAGAGTCCTCAAAGGCACCCTCGAGTTTGTCAAAAGCGAACTCGCAACTGCAGGGATCCTCCTCCGCGGGCTGGTCCACCCAGGCTTTCTTCACAGTGTAGCCTGGAGGGAGGTTTGGACTCCACTGAGAGATGAGGAACTGCAGTGTTGATTCCATAGCCTCCTCGGGGTCGCAAAGCTCCCAGCCTTCACGAATACATAGCGGGGTGCTTGGTGGGTACATTCTTGCAAACTCAAGCTCTTGAATAGAAAGATCGCGGTCATTAAACTTCTTCAGGCTCGGCCCCACAAGCAGGATGGACTGTGCTTCAACATGGAAGCTTTCAAGCATGGGATTCTCTTCAAGTCGCAGATGCTCAAGCGCAGGAAGGTGTGGGAAGTCCTTGAAGGTAGAGATTTTGTTCTTGCTGGCAGCGAGGACTTGCAGCCTTGGCTGGGAAGCCATGCACAGAGACTTGATTTTGTTCTGCGCAACGGACAGAAACTCCAAATTCGGAAGCTGTGGCAAATCGCTCAGAGAAGCGATTTGATTACCCGCAAGATACAATTGCTGCAGAGCCCTGCACGATGCCAGCGGCTCAAGCCCGGCACCCTTGAATTCATTAAAACTTAGGTCCAGCACCTTCACACGGCGAAGTATCTCAATACCGTTCAGTGTAGCCAATTTATTGCCTCGAAGATAAACAAATTCCATTTTGGGCGTCAAGCTCACAAGATTCCCGTCCAAAGTTCGCACTTTTTGCCCTCGAAGGTCAATCCTGACATCCTCCACGGCCTTCACTTCTACAGGCGGGAGCGCACTAATCTTGGCATCTCGAGTATCTGGTGTCAAAGGTTTCTTCCGGGTCAGCATGCTAGGGCCGCGATCAGCAGTCACTGCACTGGGCGATTGTTTCGACGGCATTGGCGAAACAGATTTTTCTTTTGCACTTGCAGCACCGTTGATGGATGCCGAAGGTGACGGCGTTAGTCTTGAGCTGGCGGGTCTTTCCGCGGGAGAAGCAGCAGATCCAGGTGATGGTTTGCCGACTTTGGCAGAAGACACAGCCTTTTTGGAAGGAGAAGATTTGGACACTCCTCTACTTTGACTACTTGGACTTTTTTCAGTCGGGTGCTGCTTTGGGGTGCTGAGGCTCAGACGTCTCTCTGATAGAGAAGACTTCGTGGTATTCGAGCTCGTATTTAAGGAACGGTCTGACGAGGACGAAGGGGAAGGCTTCCCAACTGGCTCTGCAAAGCTCGAAGTCCCTCTGGCGCCAAGAGACGGAGATGGACTGAGCTTTCTCCTTACCGTGGAGCTCGTGGATTCTCTTGTTGCAATTCGGTTGGAAACCCCATTCTCCGTGACTGGTGGTGACCTGTAGCTGGGGGAAGAAGGGACTGAACTGCTGCGGGGCATAGATGAAGTGGAATTTGTCAACGAACTACGAGACTTTGCAGGAGACGGCGAAGTTTTCGACAGAGACTTCCTAGAATCGCTTGGAAATTTTTGGTCAGAGACAGAGGAACTCGTCCTCTTTAGATAACTTGCAGGCACCACTGAAGAAGACGCAGCCGAAGAATTCACTCTGCGTCCAGAAGCTTTCAATGCTGGGGTCGAAGTAGCCCACTGCTTGAGGTCTGATACAGATGGAAGTTCAACAGACCGCGACAGAGCAGTCACTTCGGAGAGTGAGTTTCGGCGAGAAGCACCCGTTGAGCTGGCAGGCAACGTCGTTAGAGAGGATCTACGGGGATCAGCAGTTTGGGAAGGCTTGCGAAGGCCGTTGATGGCACCAGAGCCAGCGGAAGATCGGACTGCAGTTGTCCTTGAGCATGCAGCTGCATTCAAAGAACTCGTGCTCGACCTCAAAGTATTTGTCCTCGAGCTCAAGGAACTGGTGCTAGACCTCACAGGATTTGTGCTACCCCTCAAGGTGTTTGTGCTGGACCTCACACTGCTCATACTGCTGGGCACCTCGCGGGGCATTCCCCGACTCCTTATGACTGGGGGAGCTGAGATGATTGGCGGTCCGAGCTTTCGAACACCGTTGCTGCTCACAGTGCCAGCATTGCTGTTGTCAGCATTGCTTTGAGCTCGACGAGCAGCTGCCAGGGATGAGGAAGACCTGAGAAACGGTTTTGGTGAAGGTGGAGCTTGAGTTCGGGCTGCAACAGACGCGCTCCGCCGCAAAGAATTCAGAGTAGCCTCTGTGAGTTTGCTCGCACTGTTACCCTTCTTCGGAGCTGCAGCAATGGACGTTCTCCTCGACGCAATGCTCGCATTTTCATGGTCAGGCTCGTGAAGAGGCCCGTTATCATTCAGGGCAAAATCAGCCTCGTCTGAAAGTTCTGGGGCAGCTGAGAGGATGGACTCCACTTCGGCGTCCACCACAAGGTCCACATCATTACCTTGCTCGTCCAAATTCTGACTACACTCGTTCCCATCCGCCACTTCAGAGGAACCCTCGTGCCCATTCTCCGATGTCATATTTGACACAGGATCATCATCTTCGAACTTCGAGAGGTACACGACATCGCGCCAGGGATCAGCAGCTTCCACCTTCTCCATCGCCAGGACTTTCTGGTTCATAAACTGTGATTACTCCTTCAAGTTTTCACTCATAATCTTTCTCGACACAAAGATAGCCGTGGACATAAAAAAATGCCGCGCAAAGGGCAGCATCTCGAAACACAGAAGAAAACAGAAGCAAGAGAAGCACTAGATGTACAGGAACAACAATGTACCAGAATTGAAGAGCCAGAGGATCAACGTGACAATCCGAACGCGTTCAAAGCGACATCCTGCAAGATGACTGCAAGCTAGGTCGCGGGATCACACGTTGGGATACCCATTCCCTGCAAGAGGAAGGAACAAGGCATTTAGGGATTCTTCGAGCATGAATCAGAAAATTGATGGGTTTGAAGGACAAACCGAGGCGTCGAGTCAATGCAGAGGCTACCATGTGAAAAAAATAAGAGGAAAAAAGCGCTCACGAAAGCCTCCACACACGATTCGATAAGCTGGCATGACGACAGGCATCGGAGTGAAATCTCACAAAGGCGACAAACACAATCACGGCAATATGGGATGTGACGCAGTCAGAACTAGATTTACAGCCGCCAGCAGCTTTGGCTCATTTAATTGAGGGGAAGGTGGGAATGCAACGATTTATAACGATCTAGGCACCGCTGAAGAAGCTTCTACTCTACAAATACACGACACAAACATATACATGTCAGGTGGCTCTGACAGAACGATTTGCAGCGTCCTAATTGTATCTGACGCACTTCATACTTGAAACTAATGTCTTGTGAAGGAGACAAGGCACACTCGTACAATGTCTTCGGTAAGGAGGCGTAGAATGTGAGTCAAAAGAAGATGAACAAAAATGAACTCATTTCTATACTAAGGTGGAGCAAGATCGCTGCTCCTGACCGGATTCTGCGCAGGCTTGCAATAATGTAGTAAAAAGAGCTGCTACGAAGATCGGGCGGGAGACATTCTGTCCACACCTCATCGCTTCGAGGGTTACAAAACTCGAATACACGAAAAGATCGTAACTGTTTGGTGTGCAATCTAGGAGGTAATCCAACTGAGACAAGAAAAGATCCACATCTGCTGCTTCCAATCTAACACACTTGCAGAGACAAAGCTACAAGGAAGAAGAACATGCGCGTGCCGCAAATGGAGGTAGAGGCAGTCCTTGGGCTAGCTAATGCTACCAAAACCCACACAAAGAGAGAGCGTCTGTCAAAGCTTCTCTGCGACAGAATAGTGCATACACACAGATCAAACTAAAAACAAACACACGCGCGCGATCGGTGGTACCATTACATTTCTGAGCAAGCTACAAGCCAGCCATCACCCGACACGACGCAAAGAAACAAAAATCGAACATCGCCCACCCAGCTCCCTCCTAGGTGACGCAGCTGGCAAGCCTCCAAAACGCGCAACTCGCGCTCTCCACCAAAACCTCACCATCAGCTCCAGTCCCTTGAAAGAGACTAAAATTCTGAGTTCAAGGGAGGAGGCAGAGCTCACCACCCTTGCGACGGGCAAAATCCAACTCACTGGTGCGACATTGAAGAGCACCATCACCTCAGCTGCGACGCCAAGGTAGATGAAGGCAGAAGAAAGAGGATTTCCCGCTGTAGAACTGAGTAATAAGTAAAATTAGCACACGAGGTGGCGTAATTCAGTATTTTTGGCGCGACAAGGTGGGCTTCAACCTCATGATGAAAGCTTCACCCCCGCCAGAGCTTGACGGTGATCCGTCGACAGAGGCTCGTCCATTCTCCCCACAACGCTCTTCCAAGGTTTGAAAACTACAACGCTCTTTTCTCCCTTTCAAGCTTGTCACCACACGCCACAACCTCCATTCAAACAGAATTATTTAAAAAACAAGCCTCATTGCTTTCGCGTAAGAAATGGATCCAGGAAAATGAGCAGCAGTGAACATGAAAAAAAAAACATACTTTGACCATATCAGGTGATGGAAGAAACAGTAACGAATCGCAGTAATATGTGTTTTTTCCGTCGCTGTTATTTTCCTCATCACTGTGCCCTACTGATGGGACAACAGTGAGAAGGCTGCCTTCAAATCAGAGCAACTCATCAGTGAGCATGGATGTGAGCGTTTAACTGACACCCACCTGCTGCTACTTCTTCCTCTTCTTCTTCAACGAGGAGTTACTCGACGTAGTTATTATACACAAGTGGCATGAAGTGGAGGGAGTATACAACACACCCGAAGCTTTTACTGCTCCTCTCTCCTATTTCTATCATTTCCTTTATTGCACTATTATTGTTATTTCTTTTAAGTATAATTATTCTGATGTCACCACCTCAAAGGCATATGTTTTTTCCGAGGGGGGTCCGAGCAGCCAGCTGAGCCTGGCATTGCCAATCTCTTCTTGTTCAGCGTGATCCACATTCCTGCCCCCTAGCACTGAGAAAGGGCTGAGAATGTTCCCAATTCTGCTGGGCAGGCAATGGCGGTGTAAATCCATGCATCTTGGCCCTGTAAAAGCACATTGGAGCTGCATCCAATGCAAATGCTCCATACTGCCCGGGGCAGAGGGAAAACACAATGAGGGTAAATACAAAGAGTACTCTGTCCCTTTGCTGTATTTGTCCCACGCTGGAAACAGAACCCTACACGGCTCGTAAGTTACGCTTCACATTTATTTATTTATTTATTTATTTATTTTTCTAGTCTGGAAATTGGGCCATAGCTTTAAAAACCTCCCTCCAGTTGTATCCCACCCCGCTCCAAAGTCCAATCTCCGAGCTCTGAAAATATCTCGGGGACTACGCCCAAACTAAATGAGGGTTCATGATTCCCAAGCATGGGGTCAAAACTAGCCTTAATGAACATCACCCCCCCCCCCAACCCACAAACTTAGAATCCACACTTCGAGGCTTCTCCCAACAAGCTACTTCAGAGAAAGCCAGTTTTATAGGGGGGAGAAACAAGGGACCCATGGTTATAGGTGCGCTTGGGACGCCATCTGTCCCATGTTCAATAGAAGAATAGGGTTTTGGACGAGCCAAATAAGAAGGGGCTGTTCTGATTTAGCTGGAACTACTCCAATCCTGGGAGAAGAAACGAATTCCAAGTGATGTGGGTCATTTCAACTATTCTCTTTCCTTTGTGTCTTCGTTCTGTTGAAGAAGTTGCTGAATAAGCGGTAAATGGATGTTAGACATTTTTCTCTGTGGCGTTGTTTCAGTTGGTACAGTTGAAATGCTGTTGTTGTTCAGCCACATTGTCCACAGTTCCGGCTCTTCTACATCAAGGCAGCTGTGGGCCTGTGATGATATAGAGGGCACATTGCCAGACCTCATTAGAATGAAAGTAATAGACATTCTCTTTTTCCAGAATTGCTTGTTGGATGATTTGTTACGAGTTGAGAACCATTTTGTTGGGTGATTTCTAACCAGTTGAACACACAAACTAAACAATAAAACATCTAGTATGCATTCTAGTTAATGTAATCTTTCAGTTGAGCACGATTTTTCCATTCTTCTGTGTATTATTATCTTTGTGTTTATTGTTATTAGTTTGAAATTGTTGAGTTTTTCTTTTTTCTTTTTTCTAGTCGTTACACAGCCATTATCAATATTGTTTGATTTTTATTTTTATTTTTATTTTTTGCATGCTATTTCATTTGAATAATCACATGTTTTTAGCCTTGCTTGGAGTTTTCTATCAATAAATATGGTTCTTTGTTAATTTTGTACTCACAATAAAATAAATGTTTGTAAAATTTGTTTCATTGCAACTATTTTTTTTTCCCTTACAATTACCTGCGTCAATTTAGACATGCAATCCACATATTGTATTAATATCAAACCAGTTTATACATTCTTTTTTATAATTTTTAGGAACTGTTTATAATGTAATCAACTCTCTTAACTCTAGAAGTAAACTATCACATTGTCATTGAAACTAATTTATCTTCAGCTTACCCATCTTTCACAAAGTCTTCATCAAAAACCATGAAAGTAATCTCTACTGAATTATTTTCTTTCTTTTCTTTCTTCTTAGAATACACTTCAAGAATAGTTGGGATTTTCAAGTGCATATACCCAAAAAAGATAAAAAGAAAAGAATCTCACAAAATTAAATGTAGGTTGTTACAAAGTTATCTAGAACTCTAGAATAAAATCTTATGCAGAGTTACAGAAGATTTATTTATTTTATTTATTTTCCTGTAAAATTTTAAACGCTTAAGTATTTGTCAAGTTCCCAATTAATTAATCAACAAGCACTCTCTTTTAGACGTGATTGTATCACTTCAGGAATGCAAAAACTCCCAAGCTGTGTGCCATGGTATAAAGCTATATTATAGATCTCTTAGGATGATTTTGTGGTACTAATCCATGCAATATCATTTCGATATATAATAAATATTGGAAACTAGATCTAAATACATTTTTTAATTCCAATAAATTGCAATTAATAAAAGACATCATAATATTCATATAGCAAAACAATAATGAAATTTCCAAGTATTTTAGTATCATATGAATATGAATACAAAAAAAATCTTAGTAGAATTTGGGTTCCATGGAATCTCCTTTCCCTACTTTTATTTTTATTTTATTCTTCGGTTTCTTTAAAAGAGTTTTTAATACCCAAATCATCAACTAGAAATTTCAACCACAATTCAAATTAAATACTAAATATCAAATAATTGGCCTGTGATAATTCCTTAAAAATCTTATTTGCAAGTTAAAAATACTTGGACCATGTTAGAAGTATCCAATAACGAATAAATAATAAGGCAAAATAAAACAAAACCTATGCTGTGAAACAACAAAAATCCTTGATAGCATGTCATGAAAACAAGACAACATTTATGTAGCTCACTCAGTTTGCAAAACTCTTCTATATCAGTTAAGAAATATTTTAAGCATATTATTTTTTGGCTAGCAGATCTTTATTTATTTTTACACAGCTCCATTAAATCATACATTCCCACACACAGATACAGACCCTTTAGAAACCCCACCCACAAGACTCAACCCAGGGAGTGGGATGCAGGCCGAGCCTGCAACCCCATAACCGTGGACGCGGGCAAGGGTGGCGTGGAGATGGGGAAGGCCATGGAGGTGAGAGCCAGGAGACCGCGAGCGAGGCCCATCACCGCCAAAGCTTGTCCTGCTTGCAAGTCTCGGAGGGCTGCGTTGTGTTGCTCACACACTGTGAGAGCCAGCCCTCTGAGTTCTCCACCTCGTCCTGCAAAGCTTCTCCACTGGCCGCCGACTTCTCCCTTCTCACATCACCTCGCCCTCTGCAATCTCGACGTTGTCTCATTCATGCATTCCTTTATGTGTGTATGTACTTGTCTGTGTCAATCTGTCTGTCTATCTGTCTCTCTGTGTGTGTGTGTGTTTGTGTGTGGGTATGTACGAGGAAGAGGAGGTGGATTTGAGGAGCTTGAGTGGTTTCTGTCGTACTGAGGAAAAGTGTCGTTCAGAGGAGAAGGCATGAAGTATCGAGTCATGTCAAGGATGCTGTCACTGCCAGCTCCAGTGCTTCTGCTGCTGCACTGCTGAAGAGGCCCCAAAAGGAGGAGGAGGAGGAGGAGGAGGATAACCATGGATGGGTGCCTAACTGGCTGGCTGACAAACACGCTGGCACAGACATCCTCATTCCCTCGCAGGCCCTCTGTCAGGCGCATCTGCGTAGTTGCGCATCATATACTCCGTCGCCCTCTGCGCACCCGGGACCAGGATTTGGAGTGGAAGACGCGACAGCAGGAAACTGCGGACCTGCAGCTTCTCATGTTCCGGTGCCTGCACTGCGTCGTTCACAAGTTACTCGCCGTGGCCATTTCCGCTCAGGTGTGAGGGGATGCAGGGCTGGGTTTCTTATCCTCGCTTCTCCCATGGTCTCTTCATTCCTTAGTTTGTGCGTCAGTGATCCAGCACTAAAATCACCTTGAACTGCTTGAGGCCGTAGATTTCCATATTTTTCTACTTTTTTCTTTGAGAACAAGAGTTTTTTGATCGCACAATCACATTTGAAACTTGATCTTTTTCAATATAAAATGCAGAATGATGGGCAGCAAGGACCACAAATCGAAACATTGGAAGTTAGTGTACAACGATGTATTTTTGAAGTGGTGATAAAAGCTCGTATTGTGAAATGTTGTTATCTGTGATGTATTTGAGCTTTGAATATATCTCCCCCCCTCCCCCCCTCTGCTGCTTTTTCATCACCAGAGGATCACTGCACTTAAAAAAATCGTCGACACACATAACGCATTTTGGGACAAGTAAAAATCTCCATGTTTAGTTTAGTTTTTTTTTTTTAACGAAATTCTGGGTGTGAAAGACTAGATAGATGTGTGCTTATTACAAAACACCTCTTCCAGGGAAATTACAGAAGCCTGAGTCTAGAGTCTGAGCTGCACCATCGCATTGAACACTTGAAATCTGTGCTACCACGTCGGTAGATTAACTGAAATGAGTGGATTTACTGCCTTAAAGATGCCGTTTTCTCAGATCTCCACTGTTCAGTGTTGAAGAGAAAGCCGACTCTGACATAAAGCAGTTGTTGCTTCACTCTCGAGGTTAAAAACCGGGTGAGCATCTCCACCGGGAATTCTCAAAAGACTCGAACCAAAATTGGCGTGGCAAGTTGTCCCACT